AAAAGAATCTTTATTCTTTTAACACTCACAGTATACAAAGTACTTCGAATGCTCTGCACTCTAGGAATGATAAATAAGCATAGATAAAGAAATGAATTTTTCTCCTTATGAATAGGATAAATATTAAAGGGAGGGGTAGCAAATGCTGCAAAATTTAAAATATAAATGGAATTTATTTCTAAAGATGGGAACTATTCACAGTTAAAAGGTCAGCAAATCTAAGTCCCCTTAAAAAATGTAGCTCTTTCTCCTTAATAATTCACTTCTCTTCAAACCAGATTTCCATCATCTTATACACTAAACTTTTTCCATGGGAATTCTTAAACATTCATGTCTTAGATGAGCAGTTGTGAGCTTTTTATTCTCCTTGGCACAGAGACAATTCCTTGAGTAAGACAGCAACAGGTTAACACATAATTCCCATTCACTGAGCTCTCTAAAACTTTCCCCTCTTCCTCCATAATATTTTTTTCAAATTCCTTACATGAACTCCCTGACTCCTCTTCACCCATTCCCAGGCTTGGGAATCACTATCTAATACCAATTCTTATCTTCTCCTTGTTGGTTTCTGTTTTTTATTGTTTTGAAGAGATAACAATTCATTTCCATTTTTTATCACTTACTTCACTAGTGATCCTATTTATGCTTAGAGTACGCTCTGCTTTCTTCCAAAGAACCCAGGAATTCCCTCTTACATGTTTCTTTCTTTTCCAACACACCAACAGACAAAATTCAGACTGTATAATAGTTATTTATTAAGTATGTATACAGATTTACTTAATGAGCTTCCATAATCTCTTCAGTATCATATCTTTGAATATGACAGTCACTTGATTTGCCATCACAAAATGTTAGTGACTTGACAAATTCACAGCCCATAGTTGGAATGGTAGCTGTCTTCAGCAGCTCTCTTACAAGTGTTGACTCAGGAAGTTCTACTCTCAGATTCTTTGCTTATAGTCATGGGACAATGGAGACAGTATGTGAAAGATATTGAAAGACCTTTAAGAAGTCAGGTCTCAGGGGGCGCCTGGGTGGCTTAGTCGGTTAAGCGTCCGACTTTCGATTAGGTCATGATCTCGCGGTTCATGGGTTCGAGCCCCGCGTCAGGCTCTGTGCTGACTGCCAGCTCGGAGCCTGGAGCCTGTTCCAGTCTGTGACTCCCTCTCTCTCTGACCCTCCCCTGCTCACGCTGTCTCTCTCTCTCTCCTAGAAATAAATAAAAATATTAAAAAAAAAAAAAAAAGAAGTCAGATCTCAGAAGTGACACAAATGGCTTCTGTCCATGTTCTACTTACCACCTCATATGGCTGCTATCTAGATGATCTAACTTCAAGAGAAACTCTGAACTGCAGCATTTCCTTGTGCCCAAAAGAAGGAAATAAGATTAATGAGCATCTCACCAGTCGTCCTTTCTGGCCACTCATTATCCCTTTATTCATCCTCCCGTGCATGAAACACATCCACCTCCATCACTAACCCAAAATTTTCGATCACTAACTGCATCAGCTCAAAATCCAGGCTCTCAGCTTGCCACGCCGTCCTTCCCATCTGATCAAAATCTGATGCCCCAGACTCTGGAGACCTATGAACGAAAAGACTAGGAAGTGATCCTCACCTAAACACATATATAATTACAATGGATAAGATAACCACAGTCACCACTTCCATTTAGGAGAATAAGAAACACAGCAGTTGTTGGTTTGAACCAATTTTGAAATCCTACTAGGCAGGCACTGCCCTGGAGCAAGGGAAAATCTTGATTAGGGTCAATTATGTTTTCTGGGGAGAACTCTATTATCCAATGTTCTCAACCTCTGGAAGGCTCCTCCTTGTCCATTATTTTCCTTGAGTACATCGGGCTTGGGTATTGGGCAGCAAGCCATTTCTAGGAAATGGATAGATTTAAAAGCCTGCCTACTGCTGCAAGTTTGGGCATCTGCAAGCTGTTTTAAATCCTAATATCACAAATGGTTTTTATTGAATGTTTTTAGTTTCATTGGCAAATCATTTCTTCAAAATTTTAATAGTTTTTGGGGCTCCTGGATGGCTCAGTCAGTTAAACATCTGACTTCGGCTCAGGTCATGATCTCACGATTGGTGAGTTCAAGCCCCGCATTGGGCTCTGTGCTGACAGCTAAGAGCTTGGAGTCTGCTTTGCATTCTGTGTCTCTCTCTTTCTCTGCCTCTCCCCTGTGCCTGCTCTGTCTCTTTCTCGAAAATAAATAAACATTAAAAAATTTTTAATGCTTTCCCATCTCTTTCCAATCAATTCCATGTGCCAGTAGCCACACCAGTAGTTTTTTCTAGACATGATTTCGCAGTCTGATTTATGTTGTTGCTTCACCCTGTGATTTCCTTTTTACTTAATGGCAGCTACCCTGAATCTATCCTGAGCAAATTAAGGACATACTCATAATCTGATGTTTTCCATGAGTCCTTTTTCCAACCATCAAGTTGTACTAAACTTTTTTCTTTCACAGCTTTTCGGAAGTCTGGCACTGATTGTTTAGGGTTTAGACATTAGGACTTTCAAGCTTACAAGGCCTTGAATTTCTATTCTCTCTCTCTCTCTCTCTCTCTCTCTTCCTTTCTATTTATTAGTTGGCCAATTTTCTCCTGGAATCATCTCTTTTTTTTTTTAATTATACTATGACAAATGAGCTGATAGTCTCCCAAAACACTGCCAACATTTGGTTTTCCAAATTCTTCCTATAGTGTTTACAAGCCCAATTGGCACATGGGTCTGTCTTGTGAGGGAAAGCAGGTAACAAATTTACCGAATATTTTGCTACCGTATAACATAGCTACCTAGTAACTATTTCTTCACTATCGAGAGCCAATAGGTGAATCAATGCCACATATTTTAGGGTTTTATTATGACAGTACCTCTCTTCTGTTACCAATTACTATGTTAAAAGGAGTTAACTCGCCTTTTTAACAATAAACCCTCAAATCAGAGGAGAGTAATACAACATAAGTTTGTCTCTAGTTCATAATGTGGCCATGTAGCTCTTTCAGGTGACTCTACTCCAAGTGATGACTCAGTTTGGGATTCTTTTTTTGGTTAGGGTCTTCAATCATACTTTAAACCACTTGAACAGAAAGAGAATGTGAGATCATAGGAAATACATATATTGGATTCCACCCCCATTTCCTGGCAAAGAGCTCCTAAAATCCTTGTAATTTCCTAAGTGATAAGAACACTAGGTGCATCTCTTGTCCTCATATTTGTCTTTGATCCTGTCCCCAACACAAGACTCTTAAAACTCTCATAAATTATTAAGTGATAAGAACACTGGACCATGTTTTGTCCCGATGTGGCAACCTTGGGTGGGCTCCTAGATGGCTTCTGGATGGTGGTCATGACCAGACCATGAAAGGAAGCTTAGAATTTTCAACCCCATCCACCTCCCACAACCTCTGCCTTCTTTAGAGATAGGAGAAGGGCTGGAAATGGAGTTAATAATTGATCATGCCTATGTGAGGAAGCCTCCATAAAATCCTTATAATGTGGGGTTCAGAAAGTTTCTGGGCTGGCAAAAACCACATGGGAGTAGTGATATACCCCAACTCCATGGGGACAGAAGCTCCTATGCTCAGACATTCTCACACCTCACTCTCTGCATCTCATCTGATTATTTATGCACTTTATCATATCCTTTAATAAACTAGTAAACATAAGGAAGTGTTCCTCTGAATTCTGTGAACCGTGCTAGCAAATTAATCAAACCCAAGGAGAGGGGTATTGAGACCTCTGAACCCAATACTCCTGGTTGGTCATAAGCACAGGTGATAACCGTGGGCTTGCAACCTGTATCTGAAGGTAGAGAGGGGAGAGCAGTCTTGTGAGGCTGAGGCCTTAGCCTGTGAGATCTGATGCTATCTCCACATAGATAGAGTCGGAACTGAGTTAAATTATAAGACATTTATCTGGTGTTACAGAGAATTTGCTTGGTATCAGGAAAACCTCTGCACATTTAGTGACCAGAAGTGTCAGAAGTAAATTGTTCTGTATGAATAAAAAAGGAGATTCATAAAAGAGAAACAAGCAATAGGGAAGAAATGGGATTTTCATTACATAGGGGGAAAAAACAGGTTTTCCCTTTAGAGAGTATATACAAGATTGAGGAGACAGTTTAGTGGTCAGCACTGGAAGGGTCAACATCACCTTCACTCATTGTCCATAAACCAGTCATCTGGTCCCTATTAATGACAAGAAAGGCTGTGAAATGTAAGCTTCCTATGTGCTTAGTAAAATGAAAAAGTATTGCTCAGCATGTAGCCACACTATGATAAGAAGAAAAAGCCCTGGACTTAAAGCAGTTATATTTGAATCCTGTCTCTTAGTTCTTTCTAAATGTTTGATCTTGGCAAAGTTAATTAATGTCTCTTAGTCTTTGTTTTCCAATATGTAAACACTATTCAAGAAACGTATCTTTAGGGGCGCCTGGGTGGCTTAGTCGGTTAAGCGTCCAACTTTTGCTTAGGTCATGATCTCGCGGTTCGTGGGTCGAGCCCCGCGTCGGGCTCTGTGCTGACTGCCAGCTCAGAGCCTGGAGCCTGTTTCAGAGTCTGTGTCTCCCTCTCTCTCTGACCCTCCCCTGCTCACGCTGTCTCACTCTCTCTCTCTTAGAAATAAATAAAACATTTGAAAAAAAAAAAAAAAAGAAACGTATCTTTAGAGGTTCCTGTGTGGCTCTGTCTGTTAAGTGTATGACTTCAGCTCAGGTCATGATCAAGCAGTTGGTGAGTTCGAGCCCCGCATCAGGCCCTGTGCTGACAGCTGGGAGCCTGGAGCCTGCTTTGGTTTCTGTGTCTCCCTCTCTCTGCCCCTCCCCTGCTCATGCTATATCTTTCTCAGTCTCTTAAAAATAAGTAAACACTAAATAAAAATTTTAAAGAGAAAACCTATCTTTATAAGGTTATAGAGATATGTAATTCAATTCTATATTTTATTGGTCAGGGTTATTAATACAAATAACAGAAACTGATTCTAATTTAGGCAAACATTAATTTATTGAAAGGATTTTATATAGTTAAGAGAATTGCTAGGAAAGCTAAAGCACCACATTCTAAAAGGGGAAATGTACAAAGGATACTAAGCAACAGACCACAAGTGAGATCAGGCACCTTAGAGCCATGAGGATCCTATTCCCATCAGTGGTGAATGTTGGATGCCACCACCTGCACAGCCAACCCGCCTCTGCCACCAGACATCATATGCCACACTGGCTCCACTCCCACCAGGGCCATGGGATAGGATGTTGCTGCCAATGTCAGAGTGGATTCTTCACCACTCCTGCTCTTTTGTGTAACTAGTTCCTGATGCAAAGTTGAGTGGATGCAGCTAATTAGTTGAGCCCACATCATGTTCTTGTGCTGTAGCTGAAAAGGAAGATGAAATATAGAACATGTGACTTTAGGGCTTCTGTCAAAGATGCATATGGTGAATAATTCCCCAAATATAACAAGGGAATTTGCACTCAGGGCAAAGAGAACAAGAAAAGATAAATATTTACTTAAGACACTTACTGAGCTATATCTGACAATTTCTGTTTTCAAGGGATAAAAGCCAATGAAATAGCTCCTCCCTCTAAAAAGCTGTGTATAAAGGGGCACCTGGGTGGCTCAGTCAGTTAAGTATCTGACTTCGGCTCAGGTCATGATCTCACGGTTCGTGGGTTCGAGCCCTGCATCGGGCTCTGTGCTGACAGCTACCTCAGAACCTGGAGTCTGTTTCAGATTTTGTATCTCCCTCTCTCTCTATGACCCTCCCCTGTTCACACCGTCTCTCTCTCTGTCTCTCAGAAATAAATAAAACATTAAAAAAAAATTTTAAAGCTGTGTATGGAAGTATTTTATGAATTGGAAAGCTCTCAAAAATTGAAGATCCTGATGCTATTATAATAATTTTAATATCAAGATTATACTAATAGATTCTGAAGATATTTTTAAAGATTTATGTTGATGTATCCATCTAATTTCAACATTAATCTATTCAAACATATGAGCTTCAAAATTTGACTTCATATGTATAATACTATTTATTTTTTAATGTTTTTTATTTATTTCTGAGAGAGAGAGAGTGTGAGCAGGGGAGGGTAAGAGAGAGAGGGAGATACAGATCTGAAGGAGGCTCCAGGCTCTGAGGTAGCTGTCAGCACAGAGCCCAATGCGGGGCTCAAACCCACGAACTGTGAGATCATCACCTGAACCAAAGTTGGACGCTTAACCAACTAAGCCACACAGGTGCCCCCATTCAATACTATTTATAACTAATAGATTTTTTAAAATATGCAATGCTTCATGAATTTGCATGTCATCCTTGGGCAGAGGCCATGTTAATCTTCTCTGTATTGTTCCAATTTTAGTATATGTGCTGCCAAAGCAAGCACTAACTAATAGATTTTGATGAAGATTAGCCAATAGCAACTCCAAAGTTACAAAAATATTCTATATGTATGAGTTCTATGATTTCTCTTTAACCAGTGAAGCTGTGATTCCTGATTTAGCAAAAGAAATGCCTATATTTACACAGAGTCATGTCAAACAACTTGGGAAAAAGTGATCAAAAGAGAAACTAATGTTCCTTATTATCTATTGCAAATAGAAACTTTGAAATTTCCGATGTTTCATTAAAGAACATAGTACTTTTTCTACATTATGATATAAAAGAACTGTGGATCTCTGAAGAGTATTTCTTCCTACAGAGAACAAAGGAAATGTTCCTTTCCCAGAGCAAAATTAGTAATTAACCTTCAGCAAGTTGAAGAAGGAGCTTCCGAAAGTACTCTAAGTCATTCTCAGTTACCTTATTTTGGCAACAAACTAGGGAGTTTGTGACTTAGCCTGCCCCAGAAGTATGGATCCAAATGGGAGATAGAACCAAGTCTCACAAATCCTATTTCGTTGGGACACAAATCATAAGGAAGAGCTAACAACAATCAGCAACCGGAAGGCAAACACTGAGAAAAATAAGCGGGAGCTTCTAGTTCTGGCATAGTCACATCTGAAGGGTTAGCTTGTTCATCTGTCTTTGGTTGTCAAAATAATCATTTTTGCAATTGCAAAATCATTTTGAAATTCAATATGTATAACAAGTCACATGAAATAACCAGAAAAAATAAACATAATTATGACGAAACTAGGAAAGCAGTAGCTGTAGCATTTACGGAGACTGCAAACTGTTTACAACACTAGTCAGTTTCATTAGGTAATCTTTCTGAATCTATTCCTTCTCAATCCACCTTGTCAAAGAAAAAGCTAACCTAACCTTGTTCACTAGTTAGAAGATGAAATAAAGAGTTGACATCTAAATTGTAATCATCACTAAGTGTTATAAAGTTTTTCATTCTCAAATGGTAATGTCTATGTTTCCTCATCCCCCAAAACAAGCACATTCTTTTCCTTAAACCTTTGAAGCACTTTAATCTGCAGCCAAACACATTCTTCAGATTCCCTTAGATGCAAGTTGGCTTTTTTCTCCATGATGAACATTCACTACTCCATCAATTAAGGAGCAATCAGTGATGTTAAAACACACTGAATATAGTTAAATATTCTCCATAGAAGCACAACATCCTCTTAATTTTTACATTCAACAGTTAAGAAAATGTTATTTCAGCTATTTCCTTTAATAGGCTGTGCTGTATATTCAATTGCCTTCTTTCTTTTATGACTGTTCAAAGGAAACAAGACAGTAAGAAAACAGAGCACACGGTAAGTGCAAGACAAAAATTTTGAGAGGCACTGAGCTCCAAAGAGAATCCTCATCCAAGGCCATTAATGATGATTAAAGAAAGATAAAATGATAGCTTCAACTGAAATAATTCTTAATGACAACACATTAAAGTCTATTAATGTAGTTTAAGCTCACTTATACCAATTAACAAGATAATTGCAAAGGAAATTCCACTATGGAAAAAAAATCAACCATATTTGTCATGATAAAAGGTGAGGATTTTGATGAATATAATACATCATTTTCTTTTTTCTACATTTTTGTTTATTAATATAGATGCATCAGTTAGGGTTTTATAGCTTATCCTGTTATTGTCACTTGCCAAACTAAAACCAGAACTAAAATGTGACTACTGTCATATTTATTACCTTCCTCTAGCCCTAGAAAGGATTTAAGAGCAGGAGATCATCAGAAGCCTAAGAATTAAATGTGCTCATTCTCAGCACTAATTTCCATATTCTCACTCAAATGACCCTAGTCCTCATATCCCAGGGTCTACTGTGTGTTATTATTTTATCAAGTTCACAAAAATGGAATTAATCACTCTTTCCATCTCATTGCACATTATCAGTATCTGTGCAATGCCTTTTTTTAAAACTTATCTACTTTTATTTTACTATTTTTTCCATTCATCTATCATCTTCATCTGTCTCCCACCCTTGTATATTTAATACATGCCTTTTCAGTCTGTCATTTCTATTTATTTAGACACATGCATATCCTTAAAAATAAATGTAATGTTGCTTTCTGGGTGTGTGCATTTGATCTCCTTGACAGATATTCTCTTATAAATCTCATATTGTTTCCTTTTTCCCACTTGCCACCATATTTAAATATCCACCTAGCTATATATTAGTATAGAACATTAATTCTGAGTGTTGCATATAACTTAATTGTATGTCTATCTCTCATTTTACTTCCCATTTACTTCCTGATACACATCTAGGCTCCCTCCATTCTTACTACCACAAACAGTGCTATAAAAAGCATTCTTAGTGACAGCTGCAAAAGACCTAGCATATAACCGCTGCATCATAGAGAGTGTGTAAGTATGGTTAATTTACCAAATACTTCCAGGTTGCTCTCTGGAATGATTGAGATTACTCTTCCTCAAGCCGTATGGAAGGTTTCTTATTTCCCAGCATCCTCACCATGACTTAATATTATTAGACTTTCTAATTAGTATTCTAATTTGCATTTTTTGATTAGTAGTATGGACAAATAACTCTTCAGGTGCTTATTAGCCATTTGGATTTCCCTATTTATTTTTGTGGTTTCCCTTTGACAGTAGACGGAAAACTTTATGGATGCTATTCTTTATTTCATCTTATTTCCTTCCCTGATTAGTTTTATCAGAAACTTATCTAATTAATCTTTTGAAAGAAAAACTAGCTCTGTATCTTTACAGCAATGCCTACCACATGGATGTTCAATACATATTGAATGAATGATGAATAAGTGAATACATGACAAATGAATGTCTTTTGCTGCATAATAAACAGCTGCACAACTCAATGACCCAACAACAAATGCTTATTCCTCTCATGAGTATGCAGACTGGTCAGCTGGACATTGCGGCTCTGCTGAGATCTACTGAGCTCGGCTCCAGTCTGCAGTTTGGTTGAGGTCTGTGATGAGGGGAACTACTCCTCTAGATTTTAAAAATACGTTGCTCGATAGGTTCCATGTTTTAATTTGCCTTTCTTTAAAGTATAGGAAAGAAATAATACAGAATGTTTACAACCCAAGAAGCCTAACAAAAAACCTTGTAGTCTGCCTTGTCAGGAAAATAACTTGAATAAGATCATAATTGATTATTTTTTTTATTATAACAATATCCTACTTACATTCTGACTTCCAATGTAAAGAAGACTCTCCAGGGACACCTGGGTGGCTCAGTCAGTTAACCGTCTGACTTAGGCTCAGGTCATGATCTCACACTACGTGAGTTCGAGCCCCATGTAGGGCTCTGTGGTGACAGCTCAGAGCTAGGAGCCTGGAGCCTGCTTCAGATTCTGTCTCCCTTTACCCTCCCCCCCCACCTCCAGCTTCTCTTCCCTTACTCACACACCCTCTCGCTCTCAAAAATAAACAAACATTAAAAATTTATTAAAAAATAAAGAAGACTCTCCAATATGCCAAATTGTTTTACTACAGACTGTCTTAATCTCTCAGGGATATAACATCTACCCTAGGGTTGTTATAAAAAAAGAAAACAAGTAAAGCAGGTTTCAGACATTTGTGTGAATGTCATCAATGTGAAGGCATATTGCTATTCTGCCAGTACAACCATACCAGTTGTTAACATTTTGACACAACTCAATATCCATTTGTAAATTGACTCTTCCCTGAGCCCCTCCCCACTGCCTCCCCACTACCCAAGCCTGACCCAAATACACTCATAATCCCCATATGAAAAAGCATAGTCAGAGCCTCCCAGGACCTGCTCTAGCACTTTAGCTGATGTCTGCACTGATTTGTCAATGCCCTGTGCTCTACTGTCTAAATATTATTTTATTTTTTAAATATTTATTTATTTTGAGAGAGAGAGAGTGGGAGAGAAGCAGATAGAGAGGGAGAGAGAGAGAATCCCAAGCAGCACAGAGCCCAACATTGGGCTTGATCTCAAGACCCTGGGATCATG